TTACCTTGTTTCCATTTTCGTCAATTCCAATAAAATCACTAACATACTTTGTTGCTCGTTTGTCCACCATACTTTCGACTTTCAATTTACAAATCCGACATGGAGTGAGCGACACTGTGGGGTTCATTGTATTCGTGACCTCAGCGTGCATTGGAGAGTCTCCGAGATGGCATAGTACCATGGTCATGACTAGAACTTGCGAATCACTCCGATGATCATAGGCCATGAAACCATTTGTACTCAATTCACTGAATACAACAAAACAACATCAGATTCTTGTATAGGTGAAATGAACAGGTACTGGCTTACTTTAATTCATCAATCAAAGGTTCAGCCAGCTCCAAAGCACTTGCCGTGTTTGATGTTGTCAAGAAGTGACAATTGTATTCCTGATTAGAGAATTTTGGAGGTAATCCAGCTAGAGTGCAATAAAAGGCGATGTGCTTGTTCCAACGCTTCGAAATATTCCCAGAGAGATCGTCGCAATACAAGACCAGTGGTAAGTTGCGAATGAGCCTACCTTTAGCCTTTGTTCTCCACGGATTTGTGAAAGGGACTTCATTGAAATTTCCGCTGCCAAGATTCTCTGAAAAAGAATGGATGATGGTCAGCTGGAATGAAAGGATGATGTGTGTGAAAACAGAATGATGCGTATAAATAATTACCATGCATTGTATCCTCACAGTGATCTTTCATCAAGACGTTCCTGCGTACTTCGATCGTGGTGAAAGATCTCCAAAAATCTTTGATGTTGACAGAGGACAAACTTAAAGAATCAAAGGAAGACACCGACTCATATTCCACACGGATCTTTGGCAATTGGTTCTGAGCCCGTTGGTAAGTTTGATGTGCAGAGCTGCACTTGGCAAAGATATCTGTGCCCACTTGATAGAAAAAGTGGGGTACAACAATCCTTTGAGAATGCAGCTGCACTGGTTCAAACAAATAGAAGTGAATCTTGTTGGATTCGACCATCTGGACCCGTAAGTCCCCATCAAGCGTCTCTCGCTATTTCTTTGATTGTGCCAGTCGATTGATTTTGCTTGCTGGATCAGGTAATTCGGGCATGAACTGAAGTTGTTCTGAGACATAAGGGTTCGCCAGTTCCTATCCAAAAGCAAAAGGTGTTAGTGATGTCGAGTTTTTTGAAAGGATAAAGTTTGCCTACTTGGCTTAGAATTTGCTTGACTTTCAGTCCAAAGCAAGGCCTTTCCAAAGGGCTGACAATCTCGTAGACATCATAACCGTAGTTTTTCTTGAGTTTCCGACGTAAGTTCTGAAGGGCCTTATATCCAGGAAGCTCTACACCCAGGAGTTTGACAAACGATCGAACTCGTTCGTATTGGAGTAGAGACATTGTTGTCCTTGTTGAGCCAAGAATCAGCAAGCCAACGAGTTGCTTATGGAGGAGGAAGGCAATAAATAAATAAATCATTGATTTAATCAATAAACGATCTCTGTGAATCAAAGCAAAAAAGGAAGACAGAAGCCAACCTCCAAGCTTGAAAAAGGCGCCCAGGACTTGCTGTCCTCCTGCACGACCCCCTCTTCATTGCCATCCAAATGTTCTGAGGATGATTCCTCGCCGTCGTTGTCTGTTTCGGTGTCATCTCCAATTGAATCATCTTCTTTGCTGCTGATTGATGGTGAATCAAAGAGTGATGCATGATCTTTATTCCAAAGATCGAAGAGGATATTTTGACGCTGTTCAAGATCATCTTCTTCTGATGCCGCGTTGGGACTGGCTATGATTGGATCTTCAAGTTGATCATTCGTCATGTCGTCTTGGTTGGCGTTGGTTTGAAGAGGTTCCTGGGGAGATTTGTGACGTGGTTTACGACGTTTGCGAGGTTTGCGACGTTTGCGAGCACGATCCGCCTTCCATATCTTGAAATTTTCTTTGTGACTGGTGAGGTCACAGTGCCTTCGAACGGAGGGCATTTGCATTGTTCTGCTCTCAGAACAAGCAAGACACGAATATGATATTGAATCAAGTGGACCGGTAAGGACCTTGATGAAGCCTGGTCGCAAGAGGAGCTGTGTTAGCATGGATGTCTTCAAGCGAGGCTTGAAAGGTTCTTCAATACATTCTGGTATGTCTTGAGGAAGGACCATTTCCAATCGAGAAGACCCTAAGATGAAAGATGAAATCGAAGAGATAACGAAAGCGATGAGAATCACAAAACTTGAAATTGGAAACATTGGCTGACCTCCTGCGTTCAGAGGGTAAGGGGTGAGGTGAACACTTCCTCTGACCAGGGATAAAACGGGCAAGTAACCATGCAAAATCCTTCGAGACATGATCCGAAGAATCTCTGGTGTGTTGAATCATGGCTCTGCAATGTGTCGATAAGGCCACAGTTTAATAACTGTGATAAAGTGGTTGATCAACTGTATTTGATCAACCTGTGACAACCCGGGATACGGGCCTGTATCCCAACGGGTATCTCTCCTGCTGTGATTGTGATTTTTAAAACCCGCTCACACCGGTCAACACCGCAAGCGCTACGCAACGCAATGGATTTCGACCTATTTCCATTGTGTTGCGCAGTCGGCGCATTATTACGCTACGCAACCACTCCGCAATGGGGTGTTTTTTTTGTAACTTGCCGTTGCGGAGCGGTTGGGCAAATATTGCGGAAAATGCGCAATATTGCCCTATTTCTGCAATATTTGCCCTAAATAACCGTCAAAAACCGACCGCAATTGCGGTGCGGGTTTCTGACCAAGGGGTTTTTTGAACCCGGATTGCGGAGCGCTGGCACCGCACTATATTGCGTTGCTATTGCGGCGCCCAAAAGCGCTACGCAACCGCACCACAACTGCAACATAGTGTGGTGCTCTTGCGGTATTGCACCGGTTTTCTAACGAAAAGGGGGTTCGTGGTGTACCTGCAAGATGAAACCACCTCGATCAGCTAGCCCAGAAGGTCCAAAAATATCACCGAAAGCAGGCCATCTGTTGTGTATTTCCATGGCTCGTATTGGATGGTCGGAACCATGGATTCAATTTCTCCCTCGAATCAACTCTTCTATCAGTTCTCAATCTCAACACCGTTTTCATCAGGACACTCCAGTTCAAGTTCCTCCAGCACTCGCCCCAGTTTACTCGTTTCTCCACTTAAATTCTATTTTCCCTGGCTTTTTTGACATATTTCTCCATCTACTCTGTACTGTTTTCTTTTCCACATCATTCAGTATGGCTAGTAGCCCAGTCGATGATCCGAATCCTCCTCCGTCTGACTCTCAGTCCCAGACCAATATCTCTTCGACTCAAATTGTCCCTTCAACCCCTCTTCGACGTTCCATTCGTCCACCGACACCTCGTAAAGACTTATCTACCATGATTCAACCTTCCTCTGATAGCCGCATTTCAATTGCTCTTCCATCGTCCAAATCTACATCGCGCAAGAAGGCAGGTGGGAGCAAGGAAACCCAAAGCTCAGTTAACAAATCGACTTCCAAAGGCTCCCAAACCAAGAAACAAAAGGAACAACCAACGAGAGCTTCAGCAGTGAGTGACTTTGGAATTTGATATATGAATCTTACTCATCGCTTTGTGAGTTCCGCTTGCTAACCAAAGTCAACTTTCTCAAATAGCCGAATGAAGAAGATGTTCCTTCGGAGGGCGAGATGAACCAAGATTCCGATGACGGTTTAACCGATCGGCAAAAAACTAAGCGAGCTAAGGTTTTAGAAGAACAATCCGAAGAGGAAATGGAGTACGATGAGGTTCGAGATTACTTTGCCGAACCTACCTATAAGCAGGGTGATGTAAGTTCCTTTTGTAATATTAAATCAATATTATTGCGATTTATTAACATTAAATATGAATCACCAGGATTGAACACTTAAACCCCTTTCATATGAGTGCCTATGGTGTGGTACTGTGGCTCGAGCCTCAGTTGACTCTTATTCCAACCTTAAGTCACACCGAGACGGTTACGTTGGCAAGAAAGGAAGAACTCGACCTGTATGTAAAGCCCGCCAAAAGGCCATTGACGCCGGAGGCAACCTGCCACCGACAGCCTTCGAAAAGCATAAGAAGACTGCCGATGAGAAGAACCAGCACTCGATGACCGAGTTTTTTGACGTGAAGGAATCCAAAAAATTCGACAACACCACACTCAATCAAATTCTAACTGTTTGGATTCTTGCTGGAGCGCTCCCTTGGAGCAGAATTGAAGATCACTACTTACGACTTGCCTTCCGCTACATCCGGCGCGACATCAAGGTCTTTGGGCGCACGTGGGTCGCGAGAGAGGCAGCTGGGATGTATATGTCATTTAAAGACACTGTGTTGAAAGAAATAGTTGTAAGTTTTGATGTACAACGACATCAAGTTAATAAGATTAGTTCCTTTACTAACATTGAACTCTTATTTTACGTAGGGCAACCAGGGCCAATTTACCCTCATCCACGACGGTTGGACAACCGCAAACAACATTCATGCGTTCTTAGGGGTTTTGGTTGCATACATCAATGAAAAATGGACCTATCAAGTTCGGCACCTCACTCTAAAACTCATAGCTTGGCATCATAACGGAAAATGGCTTGCTCAGCCGCTGGTTCATTTCATGAAGAAGCACAAGCTTCATTACAAGATAGGTTTTTTTAACTTCTTCTCTCATCTTCTCTGAATCAATTTACCTAAACAATCGAGCCTAACCAAATCGTCTTTACTACTATCACATGTTAGGCCAGGTCACAGACTCTGGATCAAATAACATAACCATGAGCGAGGAGATGCACACTCAATTCCAAATTGCCGAAGACGAAATCACACCCTCTCCCGGTCAATCTTACACCTGGGATCCGAAAACTGACTATCATCGCTGTTTCCTGCATAAGATTTCATCCACAGTCAAAGGTGGACTGGCCGAACTAGGACGCTCCACACCCTCACGAGACCAACAGCGCGAATCCCTTCTAGGGGTTTTTCCGATATCTGAGAAGATGCCAGTCATTGCAGAAGAGGAGGAAGACGAAAACCAAGAGAACATGATTGTCATCGAAGCCGAAGACGATGATGATGAAGTCATACCTGAAGAAGAAGACAAAACCGATCATGATTCAGAGGTTGAAGATCTGGTAGCCTGTGCTCCAGACTATGATGAAGATGTGGAGGATCAAATGGACAATGATGATCCCATTAACTCGACTGAAGCCTCCAATCTTGATGTTTTCAAAAATAGTGCTTCCAGGAAGCATGCGAACGAGCTTAATATTCTGATTAGTAAGGTAATCACATCCTCTCCCTCCCCTATCTCACATTCTGCACCTCCATGGTTACATTTCTGACTATGTCTTTTGGTTACTTTAGGCCAATTTTGTTTCACGCAGAGTTGCTCGATCTGCGGCGTGGAGAAGACATTTCGCTCGAAAAGCAAAAAGTCTAAACTTGAAGTTGTTACCGCTGATACCAGGATATAATGCGACTCGATGGAACGCCGAATTCGACTCACTCAATCGTTTAGTGCAGGCACGCAAGGTCAGTTGGTGAACAGCTTCCACCTGACCTATCATTACTTATCTGCATTTGTATTATAGGTTGTCAACAAACTTCTTGCTGAAGACCTCGAACGTGTTAGAAGCAAGAAAAAAAGAGCTAGGTCTTCTAAAAAACCGCGCGGATATTTCCATGAGATTTACTTTACTCCCGATGACTGGGACTCGCTTGAGGAATTGACTAGCGAACTTGAAGTAAGTAGTCTAACTTTCATTTTAACCTTGTCATGTGTTCTAAACCAGTTCTTTTAACAGCCGTTCCTCGATCTGACCAAGCGTATGGAGGGCGATGGACCGACAGGATCCATGGTAATCCCAGAATTCTATGCGCTGAAGGTTCACCTTGCAAATCGGGCTAAGGAACTTCAGATTGGGGATGCCCTCTTACCTATGATCATGTCGATGCAAGCTCGTGTCGACAAGTATCTCGAAGAGGCTTTGCGATGTGACACCACGGTCATGGCAAGCCTCCTCAATCCCTTCTTTCGACTAGCATTCTATGAACAGGCTTTTGGACCCCAACATCCGCACACCGTCCGTGCAGGAAATCTATTTCGAAGCAAATTCAACAAGCGAAAGGAAGAGGTCACATTAGCCACTCCTAAGGAGACACCTGCACCACCCAAGGAAAACTCACGAATTCCAACCACTGGTGTCTTCCAGCTTTTCAAAGCTCAAGAGCCCGAAGTTCAGCTAGACGAAGTTGCAGCCTATTTGAAAGGATCACAACCAATGGCTATCACCGATAACGCACGGGAAAGCAAGGCTATTCTGCCATGGTGGGAGGTATGTGGACATTTGATTTCATACACGTCTTTACTCAATTTGTTGATATGTTTTACAATCTTCATCTCTTCAGGCGAACTGTATGGCATTTCCGGTGTTAGCATCTCTAGCTCGAGATTACATGAGTCTTCCAGCGGGGTCGGCTACAGTCGAAAGAACATTTTTGGCTGCTGCAGATGTCTGCTCATCCGATCGTGTTTCACTCGTGCCAAAGACCATTGAGTGTTGTGTGGGTGCGAGGCTCTGGATACGTCAAGGGGTACCTTTAGCGCACAAGTACACCGAGGTGAACGAAGCGATTCAGGCTTTTGGTGGCAGAAAAGGTGGAACTTAATTTTTTTTTAATTTTTTTTACAAGTGCTTTTCCATATTAACACACGTAGTAAACAATGCAATAACAACATATTTGCACAACTCCTTCATAATGAGGTTTTGACGGTCATCACCGCCGTTGCTGGCGTTGCGCAACGCGCAACGCATCGGGTAATTTCATTGCCCGCTTCGCTGCGCCTTTTGAGCCAAAAAAAACACCGCTGCGGGGCAACGCAACCCCCCGTTGCGTGAAACGCAACGCAGCGGCCCAGCGTTGCTCTCCACCCTTTTACTTTATTGGTTTGGTTGTTGTGGGGAATTATTTCATTTTGAGTGATAGGGGTTTTGATTATTAGTTTCGTATTTTTATATTTTTTAGTCAGTTATACAAAATTATTCATTGTTATCCTCATTAGGCTTTAATTTCACATTTGTTAGCGTATCATTCTTAGTGTGACGCTGTACATTTGTTGTTCCGCTGGCCACCCCGTGGGGTGTTAGGTTAGGATTGGATTTGAAATTTACCGTCCCTTGGTCTGCGTACTAAGGGACTTTTTGCCACACCTAACTAATGTGTTCTATTCCTTAAGTTTGTGAGTAACTGTTTTTGGGACAACATTTCATGATGTTCCGGTGAGGTCTGATGAGAGTTACTCGAAAATCGAGTATCTGTACAGGGCAATACAGGTTTGTGTTTCGGGGTTTGAGGTTTGTCCTCCACCCTCCTCTCTCGTCCATCGTATAAAAAAGGTAAATATCCCACTTCCTCACGACGGCTGTAGAATAATAGAACACCATTCACGAAAGAAGACATTCACCTATTGCCACACCTCAATTTGCAAGTGTTGGTCTTTCAGCCTCAGGGCCATACCACCCTTCTTTCGGGACGCGTCTAAACATAAAATGCGCACGAACTTCACGATCCCACCTCTCGGGTGATGTACCATCTATGGTGTCCTGCGAAGACAGCTCAAGTAGATGATCGATCAGGTCCAGAGTTTATGTAAGACCACGGCTGCCATGACACGCCTTGGTAAAAGGCTTTTCGTCACAGCAGCTGCTCTCTGAACTCACAGCGGAATCTTCCGTATGCCCTTTCTGCATCGCTTTCAAGATTTGTCGCTTCCTTTTGTTTGTCTCGCGCTCAACGCCGTCTGTGCCGAAGAAAACCTGAAATAGAATATGTCAAGAAGCTCAGCGGGACGACCAAACACCAAGATCTCCTCGTTAGTATCACTTTATGAAGAACAAGCTTTAAAACATACCAACTCAGCCAAACGAACCAAAGCCGACGCTTCCGAGGGTTCTTCGACTCGCGCCAGCCGGCATCTATCACCTTTGCCACAGCCTCCAGTCTTCAAGTTTTGCTCACCCGTTTTGACCACGGGTTGTCTTCCTCCAATCATACATGTTGATCCCGAGCCGGATCCTATCCCAAGTGCGCCCACTAATCCGGTCCAATGTAGCTCCATGGAAATGGTCAATACATCAGATTCCTCTACGACACTAAGCCCGCAAGATCTTACAGCTTGTGTAGCTGCCCCATTCCTCAATCTGGGTCAAATACAGGATAATGAGCCGAGAACTGATTCCCATTCCTTTCGTAAAATGGATGTGTCTCAGGACTCAGCATGTCCATCTGTCATTGAATCTTCTTCTGGACCATCATCTCAAAATTGCACTCTGGTCACCGACACGTATCACAAACAGCTTTTGACGAAGCGTATGTCCAACGGATCTACCGACTTTTCTCGCGTTTTTGAGACCTCGACAGATCCTACAATCGATAGAAAACCCCTTCTGACGGGAGGCGAGTCAACTATATCTTCCACGGGATCCAAAATCGGAGTTCCGGCACATCGCGTATTCACACGTGGCGCACCAGCTTTGTTACTACCGGCACTTGACGAGTTGCTTGAGAGCATCGAAGATGCATGCTTTGAAGAAGTGAGAATTAATGATATGAGTGAACAAGAGGGCTCAACCTGGCGAGACTGGATCCGCGGCACCTCCCAAGACCCCCCGTCGTATAATTGGAATCCTTTTCACCGCACCAGAGGACGAAAGTGCACGAAAATGGTAAACCATCGTATGAATAACGAAATCTCCGACATCCCTTCAAAGACAGAGCAAAAGTATTCGTCAAGCAAGGAGTCTGACTTCGAGCGAGGCTCGCATCACGATTCAGAACCGTTTGTAAATACGTCTACAATCTCATTCCTACCGGATCTTCCTTCCGAAATCCCGGCTTCGCGTGCCAAGGCTCCTAAAAAAGAAAGAATTCGGAGACTCATCTTCTTGCCGATGCACCTCTTACCCGCGAATCTGACAATCACTGATCTGAAGCTGAATAGATCCGCATCAGCATCGCTTCTTTCAATGACTGACATAATTTCATTGGGAATGGACACGATACTTGATGCAGAGGATACCCCTTATGCTATGTCTTTGATGAATATCGAGATGTTTCGGGACATGTCACAGATGATCGGTCTTCTCATTGGATTCCGAAGTGACTATTGGCAATCGCCTCTGCCTACGACTACACCAATATTCGACTCGGCTGCGTCTTCAAACTTGACCATAGTAAACGTCCTATTCGGACGGATCCCGGCCGTTGTCGGGCTTGATTTTGTCAGTGCGTTTGGAAAAGCAGTGCTCTGGTTCTGGATTTTCGGATGCATCTGTGCTTTGGGTCTTTATGAATTTTATAGACTTACAGGTGGGTGGACAGGACCTCAAAGAAGGCTATCTAACTCAGCGCGGTTTGGGGAAGGTTTCGATATGGAAGACAATTTCCACAATTCCAAGATTCGTTCGACGTGGAGACAAAGCAAAACTTACATCACTACTCTCACTTTTCTCCTTACCTCGTTTTATGTGAGTTTTGCATCCCAAGGAGTCTTGACGTCCATAACCTCGTCAGATATCCGTTGACCCAAAAAACTTTCACATCATCCATGGTATAGGTCCCCCTTTCCAAAATCAGTATAGGCGCTCTTGCTTGGACAAGTGACTTTTGGGCGATTCCCAATCCGTATGTTAATAGCGATCAACCACAAGTGGACCCCCTCGGACCTTCAGATCTATATCGTGCCTCTTTGGACTTTTGCTACACTACCACGATGAAAAAACCACAAGGAGTTTTGATCAACATCAACTGGACAGTACCTATAATTCTGGCATCAATGTTCAATATCTGTACATTATCGTTATGGTTCCCTATAAGATTGTGGCAAACGGTGAATGTTGAAGCACCCAAAGTAGATGAGTATACTGAACTAGGAGAAAAGCGTAACGCCGTCGACCAAGAGTACATGCGTCTCGTCGATTGCGACCAAGGACCATTCGTATATCTGTACAGCTGTAAGTCAATTCACCCGTGATGTACCGCATGAACACGACAGCACTAAAGCAGCGTGCTAATAGGTTACCGTCGCCGTTGGAGTGGCTTCAAAGCATTCTCTATGATCGTCAAGCTGGCCACAATCCTTATTGGAACGCTAGTCATCAAGGATAATTGTTTGTTTAGAAATCTTCCCCGGGATCGCGTCAACGTCTTTCGTGAAGGAATTTCGGTACTATCCAATTTGCCTTACACATTTATAAATGCCTCTGATTAATGTCTTTTCCTCCTTCAATCGCGCCATAGATGGGTGTCTTTTTTATCTTTCTAGCTATACAGCTGAGGGCCAAACCTTTCATCCATCCAACACAAAATGCGTCTGACACTGTTGGTAAATTTGGGTATCTTGTGATCAGGTATGAAAGCGAATTTTCCTTGTGAGATATCAAACAGTATGTCCGATTATGTATGATATTCTCCTTAGCTTCATAGGATTGTTGGTTGCCCTCAAAGTCAAAGGAAGTCGCGTTCTGGGTGGTCCCCTGCTTGTAGTGATTACTGCGCTAGTTCGTCATTACGTTTCTCCGTGATCATATGCCCGAAGGATTCTCAGCGGCCATTTCCTGATTTCATCCATGCTTCATCATCTCACGTAGATATATGTTTTGAACGCTTATTTTACAATTATTCGTACTCCGATATTTCAACGCGTAATCAAACGGTATCAGAAACGCTTAGATTTTAGTATAGATTTATTCTCCCCGCAGCTAGACTTGGCTAAACATATCACTCGGCGTGTGTGGCAGGAAACGATATGTACACTGTGCGTTTGTTCAGTTCAGACTTCTTTATCAGAACACAATACCCGAAGGGTTGAATCTAAGTTTATTCTTCGGCATCCTTCCAAGAAAGACTGTTGGCCTTACCAGATTACAAAATCATGAACAAAACGTCTTTCAAGTGGTCGGAAGAGAACACAGGACCACCATATCTACTTGGATTCAAAGGTACTCAGGGTGAGAGATTGATTGAGAATTTGAAAATCTTGCGGACTGTAGGGCTACAAGAATACACAAGAGCCAATGCGGAGATGGTCACATCAAATAGGCAAAACAATGATCACAACGTCATACGCGGTCTTATCATCCACGAGTTCACGGGACCCGATTGCTTTTGGAAGCCGCGCACCCCTCCCTACGCGCACAACGTGACAACATTCTTTGGAAGGGCCGACGTAGTTCCTTTTCCATTTACTGTGATCTTTAGATACGATCAGTCTCCTGATCCAATATTCATTACTCAATCAGAAGATCTACAAGCTTATGTAAATCAAAATAATACGATGGAAATACTGATGCGACGACAAGTCCGCTTACTACTACGATCTCTCGAAGGCAAAGAAGTGTTTGCACCCCTCACAGAGGAATGGGAGCGAGTCAAGGGTAAGAAAGGCTTATTCAGGCGAAACGCAGACTCGCGCATTCATTTCCGCAGTGGAATTCTGAAGATCAGGCGTAATTGTGACTTGAGCTGGCGAGGGTATAACTATAACTCGGGATTTGAGGTTACTATAAATTACTGTGACGGACAACTAGCTAAGTCAAATGGTTCAGTCACCAGTAAGATAAAGTACACGCGGGAGGCGCACTCAATCGGTCTGCTGGATGATTTTAAACTTTCTCCCGGACTTGCCAGAATCTTTCAAGACAATAAGCACGTTATTGGCACAAAAATAGGCTCGATACAAACCCATCTTAAGAGTAGACGTGATTATTTTGCTACCCAGTTTGCTTGGAAGCTCAACACTATGTCATATTCATTCTTACTCAACTTGTTGATGAAAGAAGATGTTACTGCGGCATCATTGGCTGAGCATATCAAGTTGGAAGAAGTAGATCCTAAGATGCGTGATTTTCCGGAAGTCTGTCGTGGATCACTGCGAGCCGTTGATGATCGATTACAGTTTATTCATAAAAACAAATTGACAAGGTGGTGGTATACTTTCTTTGACGATGTGTGAGTCAGGCTTTATATTTCTTTCATCTTCCTGGATGTCGAATGTGGCTGATTCAACTCTTTCGTATGTCAGGTATCGGAGAAATGCTGTCGATGTTCCTGCTCTATCTCAATCACCCTCTGACTTTTCACCCCACTACCGCTCAAGCATCTGTTATCGCCCAATGTCAAGAAAAAAACTAGAGGATTTTTTGATTGAGCGACAGCTAGCTACTGTTGACGGCCGAGGCGGCTTCTTTCACAGCGGTCTTTTAAACCGCATGTATTTTTATATGGATGAGATGATGTTCGAGGGCACCTCAAAAGGAATCTCAATCCGTGTCGGTGACTCCCGTGAACAGGTCAAGCTGGAATCTCTGCCTTCTGCAACTAAGCATCGTAAGCAACACGACTCAAGCTCATCTGAGTACAGCTCTTATTACGATCCATACGGACCATCAAGATATTCCTCTCGATTCACACAATTTACCGGTGAAGGTACAGATGAAGGTGATCCAGTGATCAGATTTAGGAATGCTTTTGCTCATGAACAAATCTTTGATCAAACTTCTCAAGAAACATCTACACGTTTTGCTTACATTCTTCAAAGAGTCAAGCGCGGTACCCGAGAGTGGTTAGGTCTTGTTCCAGTTCATCACGCTAGGCGTCATTCAGCTGGTATCTCTTTAGGATTAAGAAGAACAACTACTGGATTTGAACTTCCCAGATCAGCACATAGCCCAGTGATTAGCTTTTGTTCAGAATCTGAAGAGAAATCTGAACGGATTCATAGTCAAATTGATTCACTTGAATATGGTTATCCTCGAAGTGAAATTTGATAGAAATTGGAAGGAAATTGGTCATCGACACTTTAAGACGAGCTGTCTTTGTAATAACACGTGAAGAACCTGTACCATATTGTGGACATTGCATTGTCTAGATAGCATTTTATTCAAATTGGATCCACGCTTATTTGTAAAGATTTGATATTTTCTGTATGAGAAAATCAATTTCAACTCCATTTTGTGTCCTTTGTTGATTCCTAGAATAATTGTAACTTGAAGCTTTTCTTGGCTGGAATTTAATGAAGGACTGTTTTTACCTCGAAGCGACTCGCCCAACATTTATGTGACCCGCATACCATCTCACCCCTGCGCAGGCAAAGTTACAAAGTCAAATAATTGTGGAAAAGCGATTTCTTGAATAACCTGCTGACAAAAAGCAATTGTTTGTTTATTTTGAATTAGAGCATCTCCAATGCGCCCCAATCTGAATGACTAAATGTTACGTTTATGTCAAAAACGTAAGCTGTATTCGAGTTATTCAGAAAATCATCCTCCAACGCCGAGGGCAAGGTCTCACACCTGGCCCACGGTGCGAACTTGTTTTTTGGGTATTGACACACTCCCATGCTCAGGTCAGCAAATTTGCTGACCTGGCTGAATAACGGTACTCAAAGTTGTGTATCCTTTGCCGTGCATAGTTTTTTTGTGTTTTTTTGCAACTACAGTCAATCCAGAATAGCTTGATAAAATGAAATTCATTTTTTTTAATTTCACAGCAATACAGCCCAATACGGGCATTCCTATAAGCATAGCCTACAGTTGAGATAGGTGATTCGAGGTTCAACCTTGGGTTCACCCTTATCTCAACTTCCTTGATAACAACCACTCCTTATCGTTGAATCATTTGTCCATCAATTGGTCCATTATTTCTCTCATATCTGTTATGCCATATGTCAAATACTCCCCTCAGTTGAAGGTTATTGCTCTCAATAAGTTCATATTAGGTCAACCGGTTGCCTCCATCAACAATGATCTCCTCACTTCGATCTCAGCGCAAACCTTCACATGTTGGAAAGAACTCTACGACCTTACTCATGCGGTCATCAGAGATCCGGATTCATATGATAAACGAGGATGTCCGACTCTGTATTCCGACCAAGACCGACAGTTCATGCTTGAACTTATTGAAGCCAATCCGTGCATGTTCCTGGACAAGGTCCAGGAGGCGATGTATGATCATACTGATCTACTTGCTTGTTGACAAACTATCGCCAATGACCTCAAGGAACGGCTTTACCTCACCGTTCACAAGGTTGCAAAGGTTGATAGCAACCAATCACCCGAGCTTCGAGCAGCGTATTCGGGTCAAGTTGCCCATCTTCCACCAGAGTGTCTGGTATTCTTAGGTAAGCATCCATCTCCTTCTAAGCCTTCTATCTTCTTCTTCATATCCAATCTGACTCTATCCTTTCATCCATCATGAAGATGAGACCGGGCTTCAACCACAGGATGTCAAACGAAAACACGTTAGGTCCAAGAAAGGCAAAAGACCAAAGTCTTTGAAGCGTACGAGGGCGGGGAATCACTATACTGTGCTGGCTGCCATCTGTGAATTGGGCTTACTCGCAGTCAACGCCAAGGTCAATGGCTATCGTCAAGACAAATTCCAGGCCGTTTTGAAACACATCTTGGTAAGTGACTGTCTCTCTCTCTTATTTAACTGTGCATAATGAGCTGATGCTCTCGATCTGTTTCAAGCTCCCTGTCATGGGTCGCTTCCCAAATCGAAACTCGGTTCTGGTGATGGATAATGCAACTATCCATCGCCGTGGTGGAATTCTAGCATTGTGCGAGGCAGTTGGAGTTCTATTGGTCTATCTTTCACCTTGCTCGCCCAACTTCAACCCGATCGAGCGCACATTCAAGGTATTCAAAGATGCTCTCCGCAGGAATGGTACGCTGGCTGAGGCTGTTGATAAGTTGAAATGTCTGACAAGGGTAATGAGCCAGATTTGTACTAGCTTGTTCCTTGTCAATCTTTACAAGACTGGTGGTTACAGACCTAAAGATGATGAAGATGAGTTTTAAGAAAATGTTGTTGTACTGCTTAAATCAAGATATTGAAAATATGCAAAGAAAGATATTGTCTTATTAGAATCTCCAGTGAAATTGACTGTAACATTGAGGAGGTGAATCAAATTGATGGAACACTCAAGGAAATGAGATTCTTCTATCTCATGTTTCTCAAAACATGAGATAGATTATAAGATATTTTGAGAAACGTAAAACAAGAAAAATCCTATGATTGGTTTGATCTTGATTTGAGTGAGAGGCATAAGGATTACCTTTGCAGAAATTCACTCTCATTTGGAATCTCAATCACACTTGGAGCTTTTTTTTAAAATTCACTAACATTTGGAATCTCAATCACACTTGGAGCTTTTTTTTAAAATTCACTCTCATTTGGAATCTCGATCACACTTGGAGCTTTGTTTTTTTACTAAACAACAGTTTGATTACAGCATATTTCTTTCACAACAAACAAACAATAATAGATAGCGAGTCATTTTGCTATAGTATACTGTGGCTACAACATAAAAATGTTACTCTTTGACACAAGGAGGCCAGTACATGTTTTTTTTATTGGAGGTGGGATGTGAGGTTTAGAAAGTAGGATTAGCTTCATCCTTGAGATGCTGTCAATATGATATGGCATTTTCATGGAGTCGGACATGTTGTCCAAACCCAAACCCAAAACCTGCCATCACTGCGCAGCTAAGCTCGGAGGATAGAAACATCTTGAAATTGACAATGTTGTATTTCTTGAGCAAATCGCGAGTTTCTTGATCGTCCTTCTCAATCGAACAATAGTCAAGGTAACATTCAAAGTGAGGGAGTGGCCTTGGGGCCGGGGAATCTGATCGGGGTGTAGACTCGTAGCGTGAGACCATTGGGAGTTGAGAGGTTGACTGAACAGAGCTGGCGGTTGAAGCCTTTCTGGAATGTAACTTGCTGATCGGCAACCATTGAAACTCGGGTCCGGTAGGTGGTCTCATTAAGGTGACTCCAGGCTTATGAATGGCCTAAATTGAAATGATCAAAGCACATTAATCAGTGTCAGTATCTTGAAAGAGCAATTTTTAGGAGTAGAAAGTGACTTACAAGGAGATCTGCCCATATGTCCATCGCCAAATGCAAGAGATGCATTGCCTTGTTAGTGTTGGCTGGGTTGATACAACCCATACACTCTTTACTTCCGATTGAAACACAGCCATACATTGTCATTAGAGTCACTCTATGGGCCTGAACATCCGGTTCAACATGTATAGTCTGTTTGAAAGATTGATTCTTATCAATTGAAAATTCGAAAAGATTATATAAAAACTCACCGCCATCTCCATCTCATCGACTTGATCCTCAGTCAACACATTTGGAAGTTGGTGTTGCAACACCCAATTAAAATCCACTGTCTGTTCAATTGATTTAAACAAAATCAGTACCAAATTGAGAATGAGAAGAATGAGAAAGATGGAAAAAGGGCTTACCTTGGAATTGTTTTTGGCGGTTTTCTTTGGGTTGTCCATGAAGAGACTGAAGCCAACCTCCTTTCCCTTCTTCAAGATGATCATGGCTTGGAAATCCTTCAAAATATCCTCGGATGAAATTTTTGGCATTGCAGTCTTACCAAAGATGCCACCAGTAGTCACGTAACCCTTAAGTATCACTCTTCCTTTGCTGTCAGCTACCCTCAACATCTTGCCACATCCCTTCTTGTGGCTGTCACACGCATTGAAAAGGGACGACTTGACCTGCCCGAGTGATTGTCCATCGACTTGGATCATGATGTCCAAAGGGGTCTTGACTGGGATGCCGTATTCAATGTACGAGATGGGCACACCGGATTGTTTGTCGGCGTCAGTGAGGGGATTGGCAAGGAAAAGGTTGAAGTAGAACTTGGCCGGGATTGGTTTGCGCTCCACGGGTTCGACATGGTGATCAGCGTCGCCAGGGCCTGGGCCTGGTGATTGAGTTAGATCCACACATGGATGTGGATCTAATGATCAAGAGATCAGTTGCTTACTTTTTGGTGGCTTCTGAAAGATAAGATGAAAACTTACTTTCATCAACTCAATTTCTGGCCTCTTGAACACCAAAGACAGGGTCCCGATGGACCACATCTAAATGGTGAGGATGTTCTCCAACAGCTGTCATAGGCGTTCCAAAGCCTTGGTGGGCTTTTGGAAAAACAATTGGTGTGATACCAGCATCAACATTGATCTCAAATTCTACAAGTCAATCAAAGGTCAGTTGGTATCGAAATGAGAAGGAAGTGAGATTTAAAAAAAAGGACTCACTGGGACGAATTTGGAAAGGGCAAGGGAATTCCTGGAAGCCTGGCTCGGCGAAGGGATCGATGTGGACTGAATCGGTGTTGAGGTATTGGCGTCTCCCGTATCAACGGTCCTCCCAATGATGACCGGGTCTGAAAACCAAACAGAAGCTGATCAGACTCTTGAAGACAATGAAAGAGAAAAAAAGAGAAGGAACTCACTTGTCGAAATACCAAGGAGTCCCAGTCCTGCCAAGATCAGGACTGAGGCCTTCTGGCCCAGCCTGACGGGCTCGGCGCCACGCACTACAAATAAGATGGTCAGTAACAAGTATCGAAAGAAAGAAACAATTCGGAATACTCACAAATCTTTCTTTCTGGCCTCTTCTTCCTCAGCGAGTTGTTTCTTTGTTTTTCTTGCTTCTCTCAAGAGGCACGAATTGGGAGACTGGTCCATGAAAATAAGAAGCGCGCGCTTAACGAGGTATGACTTTAAGAGTAATACGTCATAGAAGCGGGCAAACCCAAAGGAGTCATTATGAACCCCGATCCAGAATAGGATTAATGACAAAATAGTCAAGGGAGTAAATTGTTCACGACCTCATAAGGTTCCACACCCAAGTGAGACACGGTATATAATATACCCTCCGCTCCTTTTGGTTTGTCCCAGCATTCGATATTTTCCTTCACATTATTATTATTAGATTACACTAATTTTCCTTCATCACTATTATCAATTCTACTCCTACTAGTGTTAGATCTTATACTTCTTAGTTAAAGAGCTAGACCTAACTTTTTTCTGATTCTTATCTTCTATCCATTCATTATCCCCATCACTACCTCATCAATCACTAAACAATCAGTCCACATTCAACCGTATCCGATTAACAAATAACCTTCAGAATTTACCTTCATAAGATAGAGTTGGATCACATAACTTGTAAACCTACATCATGTCTCAAGCCGAATCAAGAGCAATTAGAGCACAAAGAAGAGCCCTAGGAGAAGAGTTACAAACCAACAACAACAACACAGAAGCCTCTTCCATTGATGGAGAAGACTTACCTCCGGACGCTGAAGGCGACATCAGCATGGATTCACTTACCACTGAACGAAATGAAGTTGTTGACCAGATCGGAGATCACAACACACAGGGGCAAAAATTGATGCTCACAACTATGTGAGCGTTGAAATCTTCCTGTTTTGTTCCTGTTTTGTTCCCATTTGTTTCCCATTTGTTTCCCATCTCTTTCCCTTTTCTTTCTGCTTGTCAGCTCATTATGTGATCAACAGAAACTGAGGAGATGAGCCAGGCCTCCCTCAGGCAATATTCCTTAGCAAAGAAGCCTGAGGCCCGAGGGGGGCTCTCCCATCTGCTCACTTCATCCTAAGCCTCTCAGCTCATCCTCAGCTGACGCCTGATGATCCGGGCAAGAGGAGGTAAAGAATGTGTCAAAGTGATTGTGATTGAAAAAAATCGAACCGGGTGAAGAAGTTAGTTTCCTTCTCTTCTCTTCTCTGTCCTTCATCCTACCGATGGAAGATTATTAAAAAAAATCCTTTGTTTTCATTAGATTGTCACTTCATATTTAGATTTAGCGGGCACTCGAAAAGAAAGAAGAAATGATCTGGCTCAGCGGTATCATTTTATGTGCGATTGTTCACTTTGTATGAATTCAGATCCCAATGAAGTCGATCCACGCGAAGCACTTAAATGTCCTAAATGTACCAGTTGGTTCTCACTCACGTGTAAGTCTTAGCTTTCCTGTCTCTCATCCAACAAAATCCTTGATCCTTCCATTTCGCTTTGATGACACATGCAAAGGCTGTGCTGTACAAGGATGCGAGAGCCTCTGCCGCTTCAGCAGCTCAATCAAACCCAGTTCTTGGACCTCAGATCGCAGGTTCGGGTCGCCGATTAGATGCTGCACCTTCTCGTTCAGGTGGAAGTCAAAAGAAAGAAATCATTTTCGAGATTGATTGATGTTGAAGGCCAACGATTAGCGATCAAGAAGTCTGGACAAGCACTTAATCCTCAAAGAGGTAAGTTGAAGAATACCCTATTACCATCTTTACTCTATCAAACAGATTGCCCGAGAGTGATGTGTGTGTTTTTGCTTCTTTGAATGTAGAACCAGCCAAGGCAGCTTATTATGCTGAATAAGCTATCAAATGGTTTCAAATCAACTTATCACCCTTCACCTTCGGACTCCGATCCTAGACTTAAGAAGGATGAAGATGATTTCTCATTTGTTATGTAAAACAGACCAAAACCTTCAGCTTTGGGGGTGGAAGGTTGGGAAGGTCGATTGAGTGAAGTATTGGGGCTACTGAACTGGAAATCGAGGCTAGGAGAAAGATCATGGGTGAGAGAAGAATAGGAAAGGGAGTGGGAGTGGGAGTGTTGGGAGATGATATGAAACTTATAATGTGGGTTTTTCTTCTTGTATTTGGGAGGGCATGTATATCTACTTAGATGGTATCTTATGGAACAATGTTTGTGGTAGTTTTCATGAGACTTGTTACAAAAAAATGGCTGAGAAATCCAAATAACACAGGGTACATGAAGGAAATGGAAATGCAAAAAGTAAGACTGACATAGAGACAATAACATGCACGATGAACAAATTGCCAATCAGGGGATTGGAGATTGAAAAGGAGCCAAGTAGTATTTTTTGACGATCAAGCTAACTTTATTTCTCACAAACCCACCCGTAAAGTTTCTCAAAGCGCTGGTCTTTGTTTTCACTCTACCCATTCGCATCATTAAATAAGCATCTTCAACACCAGCTATCCTTAAAGGAGAACGAGTTGGTTCAGGTACAAACACTTTTCCTCCTTCGATTTCTTTCTCAGTGACTTTCCCTGCAGATTTATCTGTGATTCCAAATGGATCTTCCAAAAAACTAGTTCTACTTAGAGTGAGAAATGAAGGTAAATTGGGTTGAGGTGTACTAGGAACTGAGAATGGTCCACTTGGTTTAGGACGTTTGAAGTCTTCTGATCCATCATAATCATCATCATGCCCATCTGTTCCGTTCACTCTTTGTTTTTTCGTTGACGGAGTCGTATTTCTGGTTTTGGTTTTGAATCTTGACCTCTGGCCATCCTGGCTAGTTTGTAATCGTGTTTTACTGCTAATCCTCTTTCACACAGGGATCTGAGCATTTTGTATGAGCGAAATCCTAGAATATCTACTACCTCATCTGTCGGATTACTTTCAATGCAGTTAGATAGACCAACAGACTCTCAGGAACGTTTTGCTGAATAAATGATCATGATTATCAGAGTCTGAGACTAGTTTGATTGCAGGGTGATGAGATGTTAAGTGAAGAGCAAAGTTTCCAGCAGACCTTTGCGATCCGTGAAAGAAGCTTGTTGACAAGCGGAATAGTGCTGACATTCCTATCTGGTCATATGTCGAGTGATTTCATTGGCTTCTTAATAGATCGATCAAGTCGCTTTCATCGTCATTGAAGAGTACTTAAGATATTACCAAAGTAAAAAGTTAAAAGACTCAACTCTTTAAATGTTTTTCAAAGGCCTCGTAGGCTTCCTTATCATCTTGATCTTTGGTTTCTTCATTTACAATCAACATATCAGTATAATGAAATTTCATTTGATTATTTTGTCCATTTGATTCAGCTTCAATTGATTCTATATCTTTTTCATCCGTTCCATTGTCTTTTGCTTTCTTTCTGACATCTTTCCATCCAAGGTAATTTCTCAATTGATTGACTTTTGCTTGATTGTGTCGAATAAGAAACATTAGATCTTCTGTAGTCAGAACTCGTGAACCTTGTTGTTGAGCTAAAGCTCTAGCTTGGGTGACCTAAGAAAGAGTAATAAGTCAAAACCAAGATCTATAGAAGCTTGAAGCATTGATGGTGAGTTTGCAAGGTGATGTACAAGATCCCTAAGTTTCAGGAGGAGGACTGACAGTCAGTACATTTTGAAGGGGAGATTGAAGCAACACGATGTCAAGAATTGATTGGAGAAGAAGAAAGTGAGATTGTTTTGGACTTTTGTATTAAATCGGGTGGGAGAATTTTACACCGACCGATTTATGATAGTTTTCCGGAGGAGGTACGACGTAGGTGGGCGGTGTCCACGACTACGAGTAATGTCGTTTAAAATGTACTTTAAAATATAATCCAGTTTTTAATCCTAATAGTTTAGCTAGTCCAATCCTACGAGACCATCAATTATAATTTCATCGAGATTGTGACCATGATAAGAATAAGGGTCTAGACTAGTTACAAAAACTATCTGGGAATCAATGCCATGCTAATCTCACGATTAACATGTCTGGATTATATAGAGAGCAAGATAAGATCAATTACCATTGTCCCTCATCCGCTTATCTATTTAAAAATATTATCTTATTATATTCTTAAATCCTTTTTCACTGCTAGAACATCTATCGAAAATTAAGAATTCAACTTCTGGACAAATCAATTATTAATCTTTTGATTAGATCTTCTAAGATTCCTATTACCAATTTTTTATTAAAACCGTATTCACCGTCAACTACCCCCCCCCGTTGTTACTCATTCTCATCGATTCATACGAAAATGTCGAACAGTATCATCGCAAATGCAACCGCTGCGCTAAGCGCAATCACGCCTGTTAACGACAACATCGGAGGGACGACACAAGGGAATCAAAGCTCCTCAAGCAGTGAAGACTCAAGCGGATCCCGACCTCAAGGATCCTTTGGAAAATATAACAAGCAGATGTTGATATCAAACTACCTCAACAGAGGCAAAGGTAAGCAATGTTTTGCTCACCTGATATCAAAACTTAATTCAGATCTCGTTAGATCTTTAATTAGGAACGTCTACTGATGAAATTCCCGAAACATTTCTATTAATTTATAGAAACGGGTAACCAAACTAAGCAACCTACGGGAAACATTGCAGACAAAGGAAAAGAAATAGGACAAAGTGAGCACATACGAATCCTCACAAAAAATGTCTAACCTCGAACCGATACTGAAACAGTCTACAAAATTCTTTTGTCAGATCCAGAAAAGTCGAACCAAGGCGGAGCGGTAGACACTCTGATAGTAGAGAAAGGCTACAGACAAGGCCCTACCTCAACGGATACGTCAGCGAAACGATTGGAAGCCGAATTCAGAAACATGTTTGGTACTTCCGAAAAACTGCCACAAATTCAAAAGAAACACCATCTCGTTGATAAAGAAGGAAAGTCTAACAACCCAACTCGACCCAACGAGAAACACCTGTGTGTACCCATACCTTCGCATTCTATTGGTCTATACAGGACTCTCTATGGTCGCATGGGGTCCGAAAATTGGCGTGTAGATGTGGTTAGATGCCGTAGAGGCATCTAATGTGAATTTCGACTTTGGACAAGTCCAAAGTCACCACCCCTACACCACTAACACCACACCACACCACACCAACACACCACCCCACCTCACCACACCAAATCTGCCCCACAGCGCACTACACCCCACCACACCTCACCATCACACCTCACCACCTCACCACTCCTACACCACTAACACCCCACCACCCCACCCTACACCATCACACCACCTCACCACACCACCCTACACCACCCTACACCACCCTACACCACACCACACCACACCAATTACCCCACACCACACCACACCACCACCGCTATTTGACTCGCCTTAAACCTAACACCCATACAGCTGATCCCTCTTTCTTCACTTCTTCACTCGTCAAACTTCTCAACGCCCCAAAATTCCCTCCAACTCATTCACCATCATCACCTCACCACTCATCTGTTATTCCAATGCCAAATCGCGGCCGAGGAGGTAGCCAGTTTGGACGTCAACCACCTTCTACCCATCACAAACGTCCTCGCCGCACGACCAGAAACCGAACCACCAACCAATTTGAACATGATCCAGCGATGAAGAAGAAGGTTCTGAATTTGAAGGTCAGGATTCCGATATGCCTCACCTGTCTGGCGATGAAGACGGAAACCTACAACAACAACCCAAGCGTCATAAGCAACCAGTCGAGCGACCCACGATGGAAAATTATCATCACCTCGGCATTGAGTGGGGGCAAGCAAAGGCCGATCGAACATTATCTCGTATCCATGTGACCACCACTCGACCTTCACCTATCGCCTTGTTTGAAGCTCAATCACTCCAAGCTCAATACAATCTTGACAAAACGATGCTATGTATTGTTCATCATATCACACGTGATACCCTAGACGAATCTTTGTAAGTAAACCACTCAAGCATGAAATACCTATGTCAATGACTGACACATCTGTTTCTTTAGACACGAAGGCCCAATGGCCCGTGAACCAAACAAATATACAAATTACCTATCATATAGCTTAGCCAGCACCCAAGCCAAAAGTAAGTTATTGCACCATACATTTGCATTCTATCCCATTCTAATCCCTTTACCAATATGTCCAGTGCCTCCCAAAGGTGTAGCCACTGGCTTTAAACGACGCAATGAACTCGTAGGAAGCACCTGGACAGCTTACTCCCAAGACGAACGAGACGTGTTTCACCCGCAGATTTTCGAACGCCTCTGTCAACAAAGTATGGAAACACCAGAGCCCACTGTGGATACAGCCGATACCGATACACCCGAAGCTGAGGAAGTAACTCCTGTATCAACCCAAGAAGACGAACCACTCAGCAAAGAACAAATAACTAAGTATATGCCACTCTTTCATCGACTTGTCAACATCCAATCAGTTGCTCGCGACTTCAAACACGGAGTCCTTTGCCGGCATAGCGGGAAAACACAACATCTCCAACAAGTCGCCAAAGCCGAGTTGAAGAAAGTTGTCAAACAGGTACATTATATTTAACAATATCCATGTCTATACAAGTACTAACACACTTGAGGTCAAACTCACTTAGTTATTTAAAATTCACGATAAATTCGGATTTCATTTCCACCTACTCATGTCTGCATGGAAGCCCGAATCGAAAGCTACTCATGCTTTGTATCAAGACGAAGAGTCGTCGTGTGCAGCCTGGCTTGATTTTGCACGGACGGAGTTTCACTTACTCGAAAGGTTTGCGGTTGAATCAACACAAGCACCACCGCCAAAACCCAACCCAAAGAAAGGGCAAAAACAACCTATCTCACGTGTTGTTCAAGCTGAAAAGCGAAAAGAGCTCCTTACACTACTTAATGGCCTTGTTGGTACGAAAACGATGAGCCTTTGTGTATTCTACACGATCACACCGCTAACCTTTCCTAATCTTGTTCCACCTTTTAGAAGCCCACCTTCCAACAGGTCGACAAACACAAACCGAGACACATCCCCAAACTCCCAATCCCAGCGTCACTTTCGCAATCAGACGATATCGCGGCCATATACATCTTGCTATACTACGTCTTCCAGGATGTATGGTTACTGATGAGATGCTTTCACGAGGTGCAGCAGCTGGCAAGCTTACAGGCCTGCAAGTCGAAACATGGATCAATGCTGTCAACGAGAAAACATACCTCATTGTCAAGGCTGACGATCCTAGACTAGCAGGGGAAACCCATAATTTGGAGGAATGAGTAGCATGCCGCAATGATAATCATTGATCATTTCCTTTTGAGTTATAGCTTATCTAACCACAAACAATAAATAATTTAAATGTGTGTCTTCTATGTTTCACCTTAGTTATTTGACAACACGAGTGTTTCCTCCATATCTTAATAGAGAGTTTCAACATGAGTCATAACAAAAATATGTTTTCCTCGCTTTCAGTCAAACTGCATTATCCAGTTTTTGAACCTGTGTTATATGAAAAACTACAGTTTCCTTGTGTTCAACCAAACTGCATTATATAGCCCTGTTCAAAGTCAAGTATTGGTCCTGTGATCTGGCCCCGCGGCCGCGGTCCGGGCACAAGTGATACCTAGGTTTCATGATGAGATTACACCAATCTCATCATGAAACCTAAGTATTGGTCAATCAGCCCACTCACAACCCGAGTATCGGTCCCACCTCTAACCCAAGACCTAAGGACCGCCCTTGCGACCGACACACAGGATCGAACACCCTTTGACGATATCATTACCTACCGACATTTCAACTGCATCAACTAATTGCACCGCCCCAACGTCTACCCACCCCATTCGCCTCTGCCATGCATCCTCAATTCCCATCCTCTGTTCCTGCGGACAATGTATCTGATGAAATAGCACACCACAAGGTCCGTGATCGTTCTCTTCCCTCCTTTCATTCCGAACTTGCTTCAGTGATAATAGCTCTTAGCCGGATCTCTCAGCTATATTACGTATGCAATCTCAGCACCCGGATGTGTTTCTGATTGCATGGAGCAGGTTTTTCTCCATTCTTTAAGCCAACACTGACAAATCGTAATCATATTTCTCCCCAGCAATCGTTCACCAATCAGCAACCCATTAATGCGACCACTAATGCTGGAAACGATAATGCTGGAAACGATTCGGATTTGACCGATCTGTCCGACCTAGAAGCTGACAAGCCCCTCAATGTCAGGTAGGAGCCACATTCAACCCAGACTCTGTGCCTTGTATGTTGCATTGATATATTTCTACGAGATATCTAGGTCTACCGCTGGCAAAGCGAATGAGTGCGCTGCTATCCATAACATCACCAAGTTTGTCCAACCTACAGCAGCCAAACTATTGAATCTCAAAGGTTACAAGCCGATCGACTTCAGGTAAATGCCCTTTTTCCTCCATCCCCGCGTTTAAATGTTACATTTAAATTTATTATATATTCTGTTTTGTCCTCTAGCTCCACTGTTGCGGTCAAGAAGATGACCAAGTTCACCAAACCTAAGGCCAAGAAGGCAAAGGCAGGTAAAAGCGGTGGAATGCAGCAGAAACCAAAGCTTCGATCCCACGAAGTCCCTCAACACCTGCGACCAAACGTTCCAGCTCATCTGTTCCGCAGCGTCTTCCATCGTCGTTCCATGGTGGCTGAGTATCTCAACCGAGTGTTCAAGAAAGCTAGGGTTATCAACGTCGATTTCGATTTGGCAGTTGCTTATTTTCTGCAACACACCCATACGCTACTATTGGGTGACATTCCAAGCTCCGTCAACCAAGTTCTAGCCGACTTCTCCCTTCTTGAACCTCTCACCGGTCGTCAAGATTGCCTCTTAGAATGTGCTGTCCACATTAAACAGACGCTCAACGACTACGACGCTATTCCTGGCTCAACCAAGCCCTTTGCCCTTCGTTATCCAAACCTCACTGCCCTCAACAATCTGGCAATCGAGCGATCCACTTCGCCCAAGGTTGTTGGTCATGCCGAGGCGGTAGTATTTCTCGATCACGCCGGCCGAGTAGTTGCTATCAGTGTTCCTCCCAAAATAAGCAATCTCACAGAATCTCTAAGCGGTCAGGTATTTACATCACCTTTGTAATGCACCTTGGTTCCAAGCTGATTTGTTTTTACACATCCGTACCCAGGAGCGCGGCGGCATGGCGTTGGAAGGCCATGCAGAAGTTAACGACATTCCTCGTCTCCAAGGACCTGTAACTCTGGATACACATCTAAACTCACCCCTCCTCGCTGCCGCGCAAAGCCCATTTGCCGTTTCAAATGAGGCCAGCGCTCGACTCAGTGGGGCTGCTTCGACTTTCCTCGATGTGCCTGGCGGTTTCAGTGGAGCAATCTCTTCTCAGGCCGTTGGTTATGGCCGATACTCCGTGAGTGCAGCCAGCTTGATTCAACCCGACGCCCTTAAAAAGTTTTTGATGCCCTTTTTTTTGCTTAGCATCTCAGCGCCGGCATGTCAGACACAGCAATGGCCTTTGGAGAGAAACGGCAGGGTCACCCTTCTTCCAAGTGGGACGAAGCCAATGTCAGCCATTACAACCTGCCCACCATCATCCAAATGGGTAACGAGCACGCATACAAGCGCGAAGATCAAGCCCGAATTGATTCAGAGCTACTATGGCACCTCGAAATGGGACGCCTCATCATCAAGGCCTTCCTCCCGAGTTCTTATTCTGCAGCGAGGCAAGCATTGCAAGTGATAGTCAAACACGGCACGCCTGCAGCAGCTGCTGCAATTAAGAATCTTGTCAATCCGCTTGGTATAGGTGAGCGATCCCTTCTCTTCATCATTGAAAGCATGTGCAACTGGTGACAAATCCTTTCCATCTTCCTATTACAACACTCAATAATTCATCTAGGTAGGCACACCATGTTCGGTATCCAGGTTGATCACCATCGCGATGGACACAACGCGCCTCTGTTCGCTTCTGCCAACTTCTTCGGTAAAAACTATGGAGGCGGTGAACTTATCTTGAACTATCTTGGCTATGCCGTTCATGGCGGCCCTGGTCATTCTGTTCATGCAGCATTCGACATCCTTATGCACGGAGTTGGCCGAATCACAAGACTCCCGACTCCAGATGATTCGCCTCCTCAGAGGATCTGCATGGCAATCTATAGCCATGCTGACGTATTTGCTGGAGCAGCGCGATTCTCTGGCATGCAACAGGAACCCAAAGTCTTCAGTGATCGAAGGCTTTGGATCCCTTTTTATCCTGTCAATTTTGACCTTGAGAAGACTTGTGATATATTCTTGGCCGAAGAAAAGCGACTCAATAATAAGCACCGAAATGAAGTGCGAATTTACAAGGCGGCGAAAGCGGCACGTTTGGCTGCAGGCTTGAGTCTAGAGGAAGCTGAAGCGGGAGCAGCAGCGACTGTAGATTCCTTTCGGACTGCGGCTGTGTCCTTACAGTAATTACTTTTTGAGCTTAACGATCTTTGGTGTGACTTTAGTCCATTTGTTCCACTTGTCATTGTTTGGTTGATTTACTGTCCCTTTTTTGATGTTTCCTTCTTTGCTTGATATGTTTCAATGTGACAATGTTCAGATGTGTGATGTTTCAGACGTTGTGAAAAAAAAAAATTAAGGATGCTTTGTAATTGTTAGTTTGTGGTATCTTGGCCCTTTGATCAGCTTCTTTTGAAGCAATTCAAACATTAGCTTCATGTTTGCGCCTATCCTATTGATATCTCTGAGGTGCACAAACCAACGCAATAATAGACTTCAAAAAATAATATTCAAGTCTTGGTACTTTGAAAGTAAAAGTGAATATAATGGAAAGAACAAGGTGTAGTTTGTAAATAAAACAAAAGTGGGTAATGAGTGCGCTAAGTTTATCAAAAGAAAGAGAGCCATTTCTGTCTCAAGTCACTCTTCACATGCAATTATATGATAAGGTCTAATTCCAAAAAAGGTGTTGTAATACAAAGCTTTTAGAGTTCCACCCAAAGATCCTGACCAAAAAAACCAAGTCTAAACAATGACGATGAATGAGTGAGAAGAATACCCAATGCAACAGGTATCTACAAGATACCTGTGTAATCCAAAGAGTCTCAAGGAACTATAAAGCACATTTTTCAAAGGTGCGAAGCATGTTTTCCAAAAGAATAATGATGAATCAAACACAAAGATTTGCGAAACAGAGACACAGAGCAGAGTCCACCCAAAAATCCTAACCAAGACGAATGCTTTCACATCAACTTCCGCGGTGGCTGCTACACCGCACAAAGTCCATGAGCTCTGAGTCTTCTGTTGACTGAACTTAAACCATAAGTTCTGCATTATATTTATATATTTAACATTTATACTTTCGGGGAAAAGTATGAATGCATGAGACAATATCAAAATGAACCCACGCTTTCTGAGCAAGTCACCCAGTCTCTACTTCACCACCACAAACAAATCCTCTCCAACCTGCTCATTAAGATGTAAAAAAGCCATGTCTAGTAAGTAACTGCAAAGTTTATTGAGTGCCAGTAGATTTACACATTGCACAAACTTCCTATAAAACTGATGTTAGCGTTGTTATTTTGACTAGGAAGAAGACTGCATACTTTATTTGACTCATTCAGATAGTTTATTTTATTCTTGTATCACAATACAAGTTTACTTGATTGATAACAGGCTGAAATCATTGATATCCAATTTGAGTGATGCAACATGCTCATCATTAGTATTTGACATCATTTGGGAATCATAAAGCAATGGTAAGAGGAAAAATTGTTCATGATGTATTTTTCATAATCACCACGCACCCCATTAAAGGAAATGATGGGAGCTTTGACATTCACCATTATATCTCTTAAGTCTGGTGATCATTTCAATTATATAGTAATACTCACAGTACTTCTAATATAAATGCAAGTCACTCTCCAACATTAAATAAATAATGCAAAAAGATCAATTACAGTGAAACATCAAGAATCTTTGGTGATCATGAAAGAATGTGGCTGCAGGTGGGTCATTTTGGGTCAAACTCTAATTCCCACTAAAGTCAGTAGATATTAATAGCATCCAAACATGCAAAGATCTTTTCATGTTCATCTTGCTACACCAATTGCATGGTGCCAAGATGGCGAATATCCTCATCTTACATTTGCTTCAAGAGCATCAAAAATACAATATAACTGTCAGTCGAGCGGATTTAGCTGAAGTCACAATGGAACATCTTTTATATTTGGCTATATAAAATATGTTACTCAAACAGCTCACCAAAATGGGACTTTAGTCGAATCAAGCAGTTTCATTTCGAGCATTATTTATATGTATGGATGCCATAGGAATTCAAGACTTCGAATTTATTAAATCTATCAGAACCTTTGAAAGCTGGTGTCATTCACTATTGGATCTTCATTGTTTAATATTGTATGTACGTCGCCGAAAATACTCAATGATACAAAACATATGATGAAAATATTTAAATGCAGTGAAACATCATGAAACTTTGGTCGGTGAGTGAGCATAAATAGCATTAAATTGAATTGCCATGTGGGAAGCGGCGATAAGATCCTGTGTGGTACAGCTCAGAGTTCGTCGACATGAAGTCCTCGTGTGACTTACAAAGTTCTTGCATCCAGAGTACCAAACACAAGCTATCGCCGCATCGCTAACGTTGTTAATTCACCTGAGTACTGCCTTCCTTGTGGGTTGCGTTGTTGAATCATTCTCCTCGACTAAACTGCGAGTGTTCTCGCGAACCAAACGAGTCAAGGAATGATATCACTGAAATGATCTCGCCACCACCACCAAACCGATTCACTTCACTTGGCAATTATCTCTCAGCGAACTTGGGAATCCAGAAGCAACCGAGTCGAGGAATGATCTCACTGAAATGATATCACCTCCACCACGAGACCGATTCACTTCAATTTCAATTTGGCATCATGAATTTCCACCTAACCTCGTTTTCTTTTTGGAACCGAACCAAATCAAGATAAAACAACGAAAATTTATCCCTAGTTTTATGACATACAATCATTCACCTTTTCATTTGAGCGAATCATTCCAATATAATCATGATATATAATAATTTACTCAATTCTAGATAATCAATTCTAGATATATATATATTCGAGTTCAGGATCATCATATATAATCAATTAATCATACAAGATATATCATTGTTCAAGTTCAGGATCAAGATATTTTATCAATTTAATCATCAAGATATATCATTGTTCGAGTTCAGGATCAAGATATTTTATCAATTTAATCTTCAAGATATATCATTGTTCGAGTTCAGGATCAAGATATTTTATCATTTTAATCTTCAAGATATATCATTGTTCGAGTTCAGGATCAATATATTTTATCAATTTAATCATCAACATATATCATTGTTCGAGTTCAGGATCAATATATTTTATCAATTTAAACAATTCCAGATAATCAATTCCAGATATACATTTATATAACAAGTTTTATGATTTATAACCACTGTTTGAGTTCGGGATGGAATAGATAAGAAATGGTGTGGCGATAAAAAATGGTGTTGTTAGTCAGTATTCTAATTAATCTAATTTCCAAAAATATGATTGACTCATCTCACAATTATGCTGATCAAAGAGAACCTTTGCAAATATCCCAGAAGTTCCAGTTCACACCTAAACCGGGTAATCAGATATGTGAAAGATGTCGGTGACATGTGCGGTGAGTGAATTTAACTTAGAGGTGTCATGCCATACTCAAGAAATTTACTCTCCACGTCAAATATCTTATGCATTTGTAACACTCTCATTTCATACTGATGGCTCCCACACCTTACGCTCGCCGTTTGAACAGACTTCGCAGGAAGAACAAGCCGGCCACGCCTGTGCAGGAAGCTTTTATTGCACAGCAGGCCAAAAATCGAGCTCAAGCAGGCAAAGCGTCCCAAGCATTGTTTCAGGCGAACGTTGCGAAGAAGCAGGACCCTGTTGATGATCAAGCAGATTGGTTCAATATTCCAATGGACGAGGAAGACGAAGTCCATGATAATCATCCGCCAGAACATCGTCATCCCGAATTGGAAGAGGACGAGTATGAACTTCTGGCGCAAATAGCTCGGGCTCAATATGATGCAAAACGATTAGAAAAGACAAAACGATGGATGAAGCAATGTGAAAACATGCTACCATCTTTCTTGCGTGGGCGTCAATTAACATCAGAATGGGGTGATGTCTTGAAGTGGGACTCTGACCAAAAACGAAGAAGATGTATATGTCATCAAAGTCGCAAGAGATGTGCTTGGGTGGACCTGGTGGACATATTGAGTAAGTACCTGAATATATCTTGACTCCTCATGATAAAAAAACAAATTCAACGCTCATCAGTCATCCACTTATTGTCTCATGCTCACAGCACGCAAAAAGGTCCAAATCGATTTTTGTGATTGCCAATCAGATCTAGTCCGATTGGTCGAGATGGGATACATGGGAGGGTCACCCGTTCATCCAAGGACGGCTTTTTCAACTCGGTTGCTTCGTCTATTTCATTGCATATGGAAACACGGCGCGGTCCGTACGCAGGCATTTGTCCGGGCTTTAGACGAGTATCTTGATGCTCACAATCCTTTAATCTTAACCTCAAAGACTCAACAGGTGAGCAGTGACCTATTACAAATGGTTATTAACCACTGAACGCTAACTCAAACTATCACAGCCTCGCGACTGGCGCACTCCTTTCAGTGCAGCTTACGACGCCTATCAAACCCTTGTGACCATGGTGCGTTATAAAGAGATGGATTTGCTGGAGCTCTCAGAATTAGAACGACTTGCTGAAAACTGTCCGCGGTGTTTTGGACCACCTGTGGCGCCAACTGAGCCTTGCGAACCGGATATAATTGTGTGTCTTGATGGAAACTTTCAGCATCGAAGGCACAAGGCTGCAAGTGCACCAATTCCTGGGTATTTTCCCCCAACTCCCGAACTTTTCCTTCCGAAGAACGAGTGGGAACAGATGGCTTTGAGAGTGGGTGCGAATGTTGAAGATGAAAATGATGAAGATGATATAGATATGGTTAGTCATGGATGCTGACTAGTCACCATGAAAACAAGATTCTGACTATATATATTTGATATAGCATCCTTGTAGCGAGCAACACACCGCGGCCAACGATGTTCGAGGTAAGTCCCACTGGGGCGGATCCGATGATACTGGATTATTGGGCATGGCATGTAGGCATGATCATTGTCTACGATTTATCAATATCATACAAAGTGGAGAAAAGTGTGTTTGTTGACCACCAATATAGTGTAGGGTATCTGACTAACAAATGAATTTCATCAACAGATCATACTTTGCTCTGGCATTGATTGAATGGATTTTGAAAGTAGTTTCTGACGCAGATCGGAAGGGTCAGGCCGACAAGGTTGGAATCCTATATGACATAGGCTGCAACATAGAAAAAGGTATAATAAATGTAAGCTCAGAAGAAGACCCTTAATTTTGTCCATCCAGCTAATGTAATTCTTCTTTGACCAGCGCGACTTGTTTGCAATTGAACGCGAACTGAACCAGCTTAAGTTTGGCACTAGCGTCTTTCATGCATATGTTCATGAATGGGGATGCCAATTGGACTACAACCCGCGATTGAACCAAGGATGGGGTTTATCAGATGGTGAGGGTTTGGAAAGGATATGGTCCTTCCTGTCACCTCTCGTCCGTCCAAACAGATATGCCACCAGTCAACATAGGTTGATCAACATCAACACACGAGCTTTACATCACAATCAAATGTTGCGAGCGAACGCAGGTAAGGGTTTCAAATTTTGAAGTTAATTGTGAATATAAACAATTAATTTGCACATCATCTATATACCCGTACAGTTCACTCAATGGCCAGTCGGTTCAATGTTGTCCTGAAACGGGCTGAGGAAGCGCAGAAAGATTTGGCTAATATTGAGTCAAAAAACCCAACTTTCAACCTGGAGTACATCAAACACCAGTGGGCTAGACAAAAAGAAATGCAGGCCCGAATCATCAGTGAGACCGCTGCTGATAAACGGGAGCAAATTCTGGTGTTAATAGAGCTCGAAGAGGACGTGTTGGAGGCTCGGTAGGGGTTGTGATTATCTCTTCTCACTTGACTGCACCGAGCTGACTCGAGAGCTGTAATGCAGGGGCAGACTGGAAGACATATCTGCAAAACGGCCTCGGATGCGGACCGGTGCTGAGCGAGCGGAGCTCCTTGATCTGCCTCGGTCATTGATAGCCCTCGAGCAGAAAGTGCAGGACTTGGCAGATGAATTAGGATCTGACGAGTTCTTACGACTGACAGGGACGTCGGGTAAGTTGTATGTAACTGATCTGAACCTATGGAACCATCAAACTGATATTTGATTCCCAGATGACCAAGCCAAGCTTCTAACGACAATGCGCCTGTCAAAATCCAAGCTTTACGAGGCCAAGGTGGGGGTTATTGAAAATCAAAGACAAGCAGCTTTAAATACAGGTGTGTGACCTTTCATTTCCATCATCATGAAAGTGATGATCGAAATGAAGATGCAATATTATGAATCTAGGAACTACAAGCCAGGCGCAATTCAACAAGCGTAGAATCAAGAAAAGAACACTCTTAAGGAAGAAGTATCAGACTTACCATCGACATGCATCAAACTACAATCGAAAACACGCTCCAGCCAACCCAATCCCGGATCCTACATTCGAGGAAATGGACTCAATGGCCATAACCGACCCTTTTTGGGATATAGGAGGTTTGACACATCCTAATGAACCATGGGCAACCAATCGAGCTACCAGGGCTGGGATCAGGGCTTTTCTACTCAAAAGAGGCGCCGACGAAGAGCTTCGCCGCTTCGGACGGGAAATTCGACAGCTAATGAAATGGTCAATTGAATATCAAGATCGTGTCAACTTGATCAAGGCCAAATGGGAGGTGGACGAAGGTGAGGCTCTTCATTGAGAGTTGTTTATGTACTTTGACTTTGTCAGACTGAAAGACTGACTGTTTGGAATTCCCTAAATCAGGCAATGAGCTGGACGAGGCTAGGCTCATATACTTGGGCCTAGTCCGTTCTTCTGGCCGGTTATGGATGATATGGAACAATGGCTTGAGGAGCATGCTGGAAAGTACATCGACGTACTTTTCCAACAGTGGAAATATGGATGCGGCCCTTCTCATCGGATGGGAGGAGATGCGTTTAAAGAGCGCGATGGAATGGGCAGCAATAACAAATCTTCCGAGTTTGATTGCTGAGGCTGAGGAAGATGAAGAGGATCTTGAACATGAATTAGATGATGAAGACATATTTTAAAATGTAATTGTAAGACCGACTAAAATAGAATTGTAATTTTAGGCTTATTATATCAAACTTTGAAATAATATATCTGGCCTGACTGAGAAGAAACAAATTGAATTGAACACTTAACTCAATAGTTTTTGGCTTGCTCAGGTACAGGTGGCTCTGATGTCTATTCATACAACAATTAAAATATGATATTGCTCATCATGGAATAATTGGAGTGGTTGTTTCTACATACAGATCGATTTGATCAATCTTGGTCCAGACACTTTTTGATAGTCTTAGGAGTAAAGCAAGTTTATAAATCATAAACTTAGGAAGGTTTATTACATTCATCTAACTTTCTAACTTTCAAAAACGTTTATAATAAGCCTCTAACTTGAAAAAAAGCTTCCAAATGTTCGATAACTAAGCTTAAGAGTAATTTCAATACTGTCAACGCTTTGACTTATTTGTGCGGGTTATAGGCTTGGAACATTCTGGTACCTGCTCACGTAGTTGTTTACGTGTGCGAGGACGCTCGTTGACGCTGCTGCAGGTATTTGTGCTAGAAGTATTCTTCTTGGTGTTATGGCTGACTTTGTGATTATTGTGAGTGACTTTGGTATTGTCGGTTCCGGTGGGAGGTGCTTGTATGTTGAGTACTGAAGTCCCAGATGGTTCGGCTTGGTCGGGTCTGGTGGAAGGTGGTTGTATGTGGAGTACTGAAGGTCCAGATGATATCGGAGGAAGTGGTGGAACTGATGGAGTGCCATCATCAGTTTCATGCGTATTGTTGAGAACACTGGTTGGTGCTGAATTGGTGGCTGTAGTGTGAGTTTTTGTAGAATGATCGACTGGAAAGGATGGTTGAAGTATTTCAACATTTATGTTTTCATGAGGAACACTATGCGTCTAGATGAAGCAAATAATGATTCATAATGAGTATCATTATGAATCATCTACACTACGATTGATAGAAAGCTCACTTTTTGCGCAACATGAGATTGTTCATGGAGGGTATCCACTTTGGCCAAGTTGAGCAATATCGTTGTGTTGGTATCTTGAGACTCTGCTATCTTTTTGGATGACTGTCGTTCAGGTGAAAGAGAGGTGTCGGTGGGTCAGTCTACGTTCTGGAGAAACAAACAAGGGGATAAAGACTTACAGATGGTCTGATAACAGAAGCATGTGTCGAGTGTGGTTTATCAAGGATGTGGTTGATCTCTTCAACAATGGTCATTTGAGTAGTTGAATCGAGCAATTGGAGACGTTGTGAGAGAGAGTACAGAAAGGTGTCTATGTCGACACCGGTCGAGTTCTTGTCATCAGGGGGTATATACTCAAGCTCAAAGTTAGGTGGATGATTGTGGCTTGTGTTGATGTGGGAGAGCGTCCAATATCGATGTTCGGTGTCCAGCTTGGCCTTGAGCTCGAATGGACATTGGATCTTCAATGACTTGCTTGTCTTGGCGGTGTCGTTTGAAGTCTTGCAAAAGCCGCCTCGATGGCAGCGATATGTACATCTACCCTTTGAAACGTATGACTTCCCAACGGATATCAAATAACCATGTGGTGCAGCAAACGATTTGACATATCGATCCATGTGTTCTCGAGTTTTGGGATCCAAAGGGTCTCGAGTTCCTGGAAGGCAGATTTCCGGTGGTGCTGGCATGTCTATATCCGGTATATTGTCATTATTTATTGTGGACATGTTGTGCAATTGATTAGAGTAAGATGATGATGTCAAATGCGAAGGCGGTAGTAATGAGGTGGGAGAAGAAGTCCTTGGTTGGGCTTGGCAGAGTTGTAGTAGGCGGATTTGGCGTTAGGTTTAAGGCAAGTCGACTAGCAGTGGTGAGGTGTGGTGTGGGGTAATTGGTGTGGTGTGGTGTGGTGTAGGGTGGTGTAGGGTGGTGTGGTGAGGTGGTGTGATGGTGTAGGGTGGGGTGGTGGGGTGTTAGTGGTGTAGGAGTGGTGAGGTGGTGAGGTGTGATGGTGAGGTGTGGTGGGGTATAGTGCGCTGTGGGGCAGATTTGGTGTGGTGAGGTGGGGTGGTGTGTTGGTGTGGTGTGGTGTGGTGACTTTGGACTTGTCCAAAGTCGGAGTTCACATTAGATGCCTCTACAGCATCTAACCACATCTACACGCCAATTTTCGGACCCCATGCGACCATAGAGAGTCCTGTATAAACCAATAGAATGCGAAGGTATGGGTACACACAGGTGACGAGAAATCAGGCGACACCACGCAAGGTCCTACGGGTATAGACCGAGTGATTGATCTAACCGACAAAGAAGATTCACCAGTATCCCTCTTCAACAAAACTCATAGCGTCACTAAAAGTTTTAAATTACCTGAATCCACCTTCTCAGAAAACGGCCTATCATTCGATTTAGCATACTCTG